GGAATTCCAATTATCTCAAAGTTGAAATAAACATTCAATTATTATTAATTAATAATAACGATTCAATATCAGAGCTGCTACTGCATTCAAATGCCGTTCTATTGCTCAATAGACGTAATTACTATTTTTTATTTATTATTATGACATACTTACAGCATTGTGAGTCTGCAAAATAATTAACTGATGTATGCAAATGAACTTTTAATGTATTTCAAATGACGATTTTATTTCTAATCCTTTCATTATTAGCAGCTCAAGATTAATCAATCTTTTCAGATGGATGATGCGTAAGCTGCTACAATCTTATGGATAATTTAGCAAATAAATCAACAGTGTCTATTCAATCATTCATTTTCACTTATAAGACGTTTTGAAACATTAGCAATGATAAATCTTTTTTAAGATTTTATCGCGGATAAAATGTTCCGAGCGAACGATTTTAAAAATCCATTTCCAAAAGACATTTTTAATTATAAGGTCCATATAAAGTCCATAGCTAATTAATTCATTAAGTAGAACGTATGATCGTTATTATTATTTATAATCGGCTGTTTTTGCCAAGAAAATTATGGTGAATGTTTATATAAACGTAATTTCTAGTTGATATGCTGTTTGCCAATTAAAACTGCGTTCGTTTTGATAATACAATTTTCGCTTGAAAAAAATTAGCTCGTCAGGAGCGTTTAAAATTTTGATTTTCGTCAGTTTTTTCACAATTACTTTGAAAGAATCTTCGTTTAATTAATTGAAGCTTAAACGGCACGAATATCAATTAAATTCCTCAACGATCGATCTCGCGCAATTCGAAACTGATAACATTGATATAACGCTTCGATAACAGTTGGCGAGTAATTAATCAATGGAAAATAGTCGATTTCTTATTCACGAGGATGTTTATAAAATTTAATGTAGAACTCGTACACGAGCGGTCGTTTTCACGAGTCCGTCCGCTCTCTCCCCTTAGCTACAACATGCCGGAGAAAATTAGAGCAAAGAGGGACCAAAATACTATTCACTGACGAGAAAGTCGTCGCCGAGTTTGCCGAAATGTGCCCACTCGTGACGACAGTTCGGCGGTGACGGAAGAAACCGTGGTGGATTGGAAGAGGAGGAGGAGGAGGAGGAGGAGGAGGAGGAGGATTGGGAGGGGGTCTGGAAGAGTCGTTGTTCAATCAAGTCTGACCAAACGATATTCACCCGGGACTTCTGCTTTTTTCAGGCAGATTGCCCTGCCTACCGAGCGACACGACCTTCGAGATCTGCAACTCGCCGGTGATCGCCTACGCCGGGCAGCGGCAGTACTCCGAGGACCTGGAGAGCGAGGAGGGCGAGGACTCGGGAGGCGAGCAGCGGCCGAGGGAGCGAGTGGCCCTCGGGGAAGAGGAGGCACGCAAGCCCTCGTCGCCCTTGCCGGGTGGCGGCCTCCACTTCCTCACGGACGAGCGGAAGCCGCGTGGGGAGGCGACCGCGGAGGAGCCCGGGATAACGGGAGCCGAGCCCGAGGTCCGCAAGCAGGTTGGTTGGCACCCGAACGCCCTTAGGACGCTGGCGAACACGGCCATCGGCCACAGGAGCAGGCGGCCTGGGGACTCGCACCAACGGCTGCTCGCGGCCCTCGCGCGCGGTCGAGCTCGACCTGGTAACGGTTGCCGGGACACCCCGAACTACCTCTACAGCGGCCGCGTCACATCCGTCCTCAGACCAAGGATCTAGGTGTTTTCATCCTCCCTTTTATCCGCGACCTCGCGCCCATCATCTCCCCTCGTCTAGCCTCTCGTTGTCCGTCGCTCTACCTCGATAACTTTATTGAAATTACGCCAATAGGAGGCGAGTCCATTCGATTCGATATAACTTGTCCCAAGCGGGACACGAGTCACTTTTCACCTTTCCTTCTATTATTCTCTCTTGATTTTCACCAGAATTTCGACGTTTATGTGCAGTGTCCAAAAGCTCTCGCACAGCTTACGTTTCATTTTACAATGAAAATGTCATATCGCTTAGTTACATCGGTATCCTCGTGATGCTTAGCTTAGCCGTAGCTTTTTTTCTTCTTCTTCTTTTTTTTTTTTATTTCTATTTTTATTTTCTTATTTTCTTATTTTCACTATCTCCAAAGACGATTAATAATATGTAATAATTATTGAATGGGCATTTGGATGGTCGAAGAGTGTGCATTAATCGCCTGCAAATTAGATTCGATCCGATTATCCTGGATTGAAAAGTTTAGTCTTTTCTTCTCGACTCTCCATGTCGTCTATGAATATTTAATACGATACTTCGAAGATTTTCCCATGTGCTTTCGGACAATGCGTCAATTAACATTCGATTGTTCCATGATAAACGTTACTACTGTCCATAAAATATAAAATCGGAGAATACTGGGTGATAGATATTGACATTTAATATCTCGTTGAATTAATGAATTTGCTTCTATCATCAGTTGGTATGGTCGGAAAAATATTTGTTCCCATTGTGACTTTCTTTATTTGTTATGCGACATAAAGGCAGTTAGTTGTTGAGTTGAATCGCGTAAAAAAAAAAAAAAAAAAAAAAAAAACCTTTTATACACTGTTTTGAGATTAGAGTGAATAGGGGCGAGAGATAAGTTTGAATCGAATCCAGGTGCATTTAAATTGCGCTGCTTATAATAATAATAATAATTTCAGTCAGAGAGAGATCGACACTTACTTATAATGAATGACTCACTCGCTAATAATTCAAATTTCAGAATTCAAATTCTTTCACAACTTTGGGCGTAAAAAATGCCCTACGTATAATCGAGGCTTCCGTTGTCTGTCGCTTTTTACCTTTTTGCATGTTTTGAATATATATCGAGCAATTTTATAAAGTGAATAAAATCGGTATCAAGCGATGTGGATTAATTTTCTTAAGAGATTTGGAAAGCTCGTGCTTGGAGGTCTTTCGTTTCTAGTCAATCAATTATTTCTAGTCGATCGAGCAACTTGTAGTTGACGTCTACCTGATCGGCTCCTCCTCATTATCCATGGTTTTGCTAATTTATTTATCAAATTAGTGTCTCAGGGACTCTTTGACTTCTTGTCACAATTTTATAATCGTTCAAATTATACAATATATAAGGCATAAAATTCTTGAAAGTGTTTAGAGTAATATTCGTTCGGTTGTTGATGGTCCTTTATTAGGACACAGGCATTTATAGACACAGGATTGGGCGTCGAAATGCTTGAGAGGTATTAGAAACGACCGTATAAGAAACATTTATTAGACAATTCGATATGTTGTTGAGTTAAGGAAAAATTTGATTTCTTACGATTAGTAGAATCGTCGTTGAGAGACAATATTATTGATTAACAGAAGCTCATAAACACGACTTCACATCATTTTACACGTACGATTATGACTTCTCTCTTTTATGAATTGGATACCGAATCCAAACGTTTATTAAAATTCTTTAATTTACGATATTATTAATTTTGTTAATATTAATCGATGTAATCGTCGTAAGAGCTACCATTCGTTTATCCTTGTAGATTTATGATTATAAATGCTCTTTCCAAACGAATTAGAATATTATAAAGATTTTCGTGTGATTTTTAAATAATTGTTTGAATTGGAATTGATATTATGTAAAGAGAAATAAATCTCTTTGTCTCTATTGAAACGTACGTTAGGTTTTTTTAATTCTTTCAGTCGTATTTGTTTGGTATTTCTTTGTATGTTGGTTTATTATTTATTATTATATTCGTAATAAGACATGGAATGTTGAAATTTTATTGAAACACATCTTTGGTAACGAAAGAAATAAAGTAAGACTAAAGTTTCATCGGTGACTATGAGTTTATGAGAGTGAATGTCTGATTAGGATTATTATCGTTCCTTTTCTCGTGAAGAAAGCTCGTGATAATTTTATTTCGTTCGATATATTAAAACTAAATTAAATGAGAATATTATCATATGTAACGCGTGTATATATATATATATATATATATATATATATATATGTCATCTCTCATTATCTAGACATATGGCAAATTCATGCTAATTATCGCAATTATATGGTATTATAATATAACATATTTCACCATACGACGCTTAATCAGTACTCGTTCATTATTAGATTCGTCACTCTGTGCACAGTTACTGATATTTACCCAACTGTTTCGCGTTATGAAAATATTCACAACTAATCACGCACACAAAACGCTTAAAGGAAATCAAAGTATCACAATAATTTCATGCTTTCTTACGTCAAAATTGCAATACCTTTATTAACATGTGTGTTTGTAATTATAAATAAATGTTATTCGTGTCTATTGATGTAAGAGATATTTAATATGCCAAGAACTCTACTATTTTATTTATTATTTATTTATTTATTTTTTTTATTTTTTTTTTGTCTTTTGGAATGTAACACATAATCAAAAGCCCTATAAAATTGTTTAATTATTTTGTCAATCTTATTTCTGAATCATCCGTAAGGTCAGTAAAGTTTGATAATTATTCATACTAAACGATTTAAGGTGTGGGTGTTTGAGAAATATACAATGACATATTTAATGTTTCCCGTAATAATCAAACGACTCAATAATAATACGTGAGAATCAAAGAATAACGATTTTGAACGAATTAAGCTGACGATTAATGCATTGTTCCTCGACTGCCTATTATTGGTCAAGAATTTCAATTTCCTCAACAGCTCCAAGTTATTCTTACATTCTTACGTAACACGTTGTTGCATTCTAAATACGCGCGCCACTCGAAACCATCACCAAACGCTCCCAAGGCATCGTAAATGGTAACTAATCCATCGTCGCTAAGCCATAAAATGTGTGTAAGAGCGAGCGACGACGACGATCAGCGAGCACCGAGAGCAAGGTAGAGATAAAGATATAGATAGTTAGATAGATAGATAGATAGATAGATAGATAGATAGATAGATAGATAGATAGATAGATAGATAGATACAGAGAGAGATAGAGAGAGAGAGAGAGAGAGAGAGAGAGAGAGAGAGAGAGAAGTAGGAAAACGTGATCTGTTTGCGCAAGCTGCTGGAATACCTGATCCAGAAGGATGGCTCGGTGGTGTGCAAATGGTGTGGCGAGGTGCTGCCCTCGCGGACCCGCTGGTACCGGCACAAGTACAAGCTCCACGTGACGACGCAAGTCGCCCAGCCGGCGCCTCTCTTCAAGTGTCACAGTTGCAACGCATACTTCAAGTCGCGGAAGGGCTACATCGGCCACCTGAGCTCGCGGCACTCGCCCGACGACGCGGAGAACGACGAGAATCGGGAGGACCCGCCACCCAATAGCAAGAGCCCCGCCGGGAACAACGGCAGGCCCAGCGCCAGGAAACCCGCCGACGTAAGCCAAGCCCCACTGACAACATCCGCAACTCCCCGTAACGTCTCGCGTCTCCCATTCAGCGGGGCTTCCCGATGCGCCAAATCGGCCTCCCTCCCGCTCCTTCCTAAGCCCGCACCATTCGGCTCCCGCCACCCTCGCCTCGTCAACGCATCCTCGCATCGCAACCAGAAGCCAACTGGACTCCAATCGAAGCTCGCTGGCTCGCGCTCACCTCCCTTAAAGCGCTCAGAGACCCTTTAGAGGACTGTCGATCGAACGTCTCCCAAGCTCCGGCCGACCTTCCCATAAACCCACCCCACAAACATCAAACGATCGCGATTTTAGCGGCTACCGGATTCGCAAGCGTCGATCGGTGAGTAACGCCGAGCCACCGGATCGAAAAAGCGTGCTCGGAGCTCGACGGAACTCGGCCACGGCGTTCCTGTGCCCTCAAGCTTTCAGTCGCGCATCCAAAAAACTTCGCTTCGAACGGGCACATTTTTCCATTTTGTGTCTGTGGTGTTATTGGCGAAGGGACGCTGGGCGACTCCCGATTCCGCTCGGGCAATGCGCGTTTATTAAAATGGCACGACTTACGACACGATGGTTTTGCAAATTGCCGTTATGCCGTTTTGTATGGTTGGTATCGAGAGGCCTCGAACCACGTAACGCGTCATCCATATAATCATTCGCAGTAGAGTTGCAAAAGCTTATGCTCCTCGAATGCCGACAAAACTCCTCTCTGCACGTAGTCGTCGGTCCTTTTATTATCATAAGTTTTACTTGTATTATTATCATATTACATGTGCAATTCATTAGGATTAAGATGAAAAGTGCAACTTTACTACGTTTTTCGCGATTCATTATATATAAATGACTGCACAATCGTCGTATACCTTCACGAATACAATGCTTATGCAAAACCTGCATTAATTATCGTAGATGTTCATCGGCCAATGCGTGCAATGTTTATGTATCGTATATGTTTGTCGTATACGTGTGCACCCTTGCAATGATTATTGTTCCATAAGAAAGCCAGATCCTAAAGCGTGGATTTGTTCGTTAAATCGATGTAGTATAATTTAAAAGACGAAAGGAATAGAGAGAGAGAGAGAGAGAGAGAGAGAGAGAGAGAGAGAGAGAGAGAGAGAGAGAGAGAGTGGTTTCGATGCGGTAAGATTTAAAGAAACTTTAATGAAATGAAATTTTGTGCCCGATTATAGAGACACAGGTATGGATAATCACTTGTGATGGTTTTTTTCCCAACAATTACTTTCGGAAACATTGTACAATCTGGTTTCTTGAACCTGCTATATATATATATATATATATATATATGTGTGTGTGTATGTATGTATGTATGTATGGCCATACACACACATATTATGCGCATTTGTTCGCTCGATGCTTATAGTTTGCAATTTGTTAATAAAATGGTTTTTTACAAAAATAAATTAAAGTTGTTTTGCATAAGAAAATCCCTTTTCTTTTATTCTTAGTGTTTTTTTTCATTATTAGCGTGGATGCATGGGCGTAACCATAATACCAGATTTGATCATTTCTCGCACGATATTACATAATTCAACGAAGATACACTGACGCGCGCGTGCTCGCGCACACACGCATACATTTTCTTATCATACTTTTTTAATATAACTTTTTTACGCATACTAATTTTTTTAACCCCATACGTATATATGTAGGTATGTATGTATGTGTGCGTAGGTGTGTGTAATAATATATTTTTATTCTTCCTCTTCAAAGCTTTGTATATTTATTTCTTAAAAGACCGTATCTTTTGTTATTATCTTAGTAAAGTATGCTTAGTCTTTAAGGTTATTTATTAAGAAAAACGCTTTGCGCTATGTTTGCTATACGAGATTGCATTGTGTCAAGGATATGTTATTAAAATATTAAGAGGCACAATAGTAACGAATTCATATATTTTATCTTCATGCTCGATCCTTCAATATGTCTTAATTTCATATCGAGAGTACGGCATTCGTAATGAAATCATCTCAATTCTCATCACGCATCCGATAAACCTAGTACTTGTAGCTTGAAACCACCAATCGGCGTCTCGCGCGATTAAGTGCTTTTTAACGCCTTGGCTTAAAACTCGGTATTCATCGGCGAAATATTTGTCCAACTAAACGGCATATCGAAATTTCGTTAAACGTTTAAAACATTTACACCAACTGCCAATATTTGCGGCCCCCGTTATCCAATAGACGGCCTCTTCCTTCACCTCTTCCTTCACCTCTTCCTTCACCTCTTCCTCTTCCTCCACCTCTTCCTCCACCTCTTCCTCCACCTTTTCCTTATCCCCTCCCCAATCCCCAATCCCTACCCACCCCCCTCCCTACGAATTTTCATAGGAAATCCAAAACGACCTTCCTCATTCAACCTCCAATATAATTCTTTGCAATTGAATTCCGAAAGGTTAACGTCCGAATGCTAATGCACATTTAACCAGCCATAAAGTCAAAACATCCTACTGGCATCGATGCCCATTAAGCGAGTAATCTCTCAGTTGGCGTAGCACGTAACCAAAGCGCAAAAGCGTGGATGTATGAATGAATAATAATCATCATACGGTCCCGCGGCAGCTCGGGTAAACCGGGGACCCGATGCGCGAGCCCACTGCTGAGAAATCACTCGGTGCCCTTAGGGTGCAAGGGCAGGGAGAGGCGGTGACGCGGCCCCACGCAATCAGCCACGCACATTCCAAGGGCAGAGTTTGCGTGAAGCCGCGTCTCCGCGATCGAACCCTTTTAATCCGTCCTCGTTCGTCAGCGCGCGGGTGTGTGTGTGTGAGCGCAGATCGGCAAGGGCCCGGACTGGGAGCAGCAGCGCGAGAAGGAGGAGAAGCTGGTGGCGGACATAATCGACCGGGTGAAGCGGGAGTGCGAGGCGCAGGGCGAGACGGTAACTAGGCGCGGATACTCCAGGCGCTCCACCGTCATGAACAGCTAAGGCCGGCCCCCCCAGGACGGCGCCCCGGCCGCGGATCCACGTCGACGGACCATCTTCATCAGCCTCTGGCCCGAGACCCCGACTATTTAGCCGTTTAAGGGCCTGAGATAGGGTGAGACCAAAATCGTAGGTAGGATTAGCTCGAATGTCGATGAGCGGAGGTACATTGGGCCTTAGGCCCCGGTTACTCGCAATTGGGAAGGGAGAGACAGGGGTTTCACACCCGACTTATTCTTCCTTGGCTAAGCACGAATTTCGCTTTCACATTGTGCGTTATCCGTCGCTCAATACCAGTGCCAATCCAGTAATTTCTTCCTTTCTCCTTCTTCCACGTATTCTCGATTAATTAAGAACTTGCCACAGTAAGCCGACGATGAAGAAATATTGAAAGTAGTACGATGTTTCGACAAAACAATAAACAAATTCTCCCTCCAAAGAGTCACTCTATGTATAGAGCAGCTTTTAATCCCAATAATCCTAATCAATTGCTTTCACTTACGATATTCTCTCTCTCTCTCTCTCTCTCTCTCTCTCTCTAACTCTCATTCTCTTTCTCTATTTATCTTTCTCTATCTATCTATCTATCTATCTATCTATCTATCTATCTATCTATCTATCTATCTATCTATCTATCTATCTATCTATCTATCTATCTATCTATCTATCTATCTGTCTGTCTGTCTGTCTGTCTGTCTGTCTGTCTGTCTGTCTGTCTGTCTCTTACTTTCTTTGCTCGTCGTAGACCGAAGCCAACGAAAAGAAGGACGAAACCGAGCAATTGAATCTGGAAAATTATTAGAGGAAACAGGAGGAAATATATAACCGTACAGAATCATTTTGTTTATCCTTCTTCAGTCCATGTCCTATAGGAATAATTAAAAACTTGTAAATTGCAATTGTATTTATTTATTTATTTATTTATTTTTCATTTTTTCTTTCTGTTGTAAAATTCAATTGAATATGCTTTTTTAATACTTGTTAATCAACTACTTGATTATTGATATGAGAAAGTGCTCTAACGTTATGATTAACATTTTCAAACGTTTATTATCTCAACTTTCGATACACCGTATGTAAAAATAAAGAAATTTCTCTAATCGTTTGAATATGGAATAAAATAACCACGTTTTCTCTATTTTCGATAAGTGATTGTCGTGTATTTTCAATTATTAAACCATTTTATTTGATTAATTTAACTGAAACTAATGCTACTAGTGCTGTATATTTTGTATATTGAATATTGAATATTTTATATTGAAATTAATACACACGTATAGATTTTTAATTAAAATCCAATGGTATAGACAAATCGTGTATGATTGATAATTTTTCGATAAATTTGTTAAGAATGTAGTGTGCTCCCGTCTGTATACAAAAACTAAATCGTATTATACAATAATAATAATAATAATAATAATAATAATAATAATAATAATAATAATAATAATAATAATAATAATAATAAATAAGGAGGACCGCGAGCATCTTTCTAAATAAAATACAATGCAATTTCATCTAAATACATCAACATCTTTGTCTCAATGTGTTTATCGAATAAACTTGTGCCAAAGACAATGAAACAAGTATAAAATATGGAGGCTGAATTAACAATTACGAATGAATAAATTATAGAATATGAGTGATTATAAAATTGGGTTATTCGAAAGGTGGTGTAGGCGTAAGGAAGTTCTATCTCTATGTACTCCAATTTAAAACTTGTCTTCCGTATTGAAATGAGTAGAAAGAAAAAACAACAAATTATGAATACCAATTTTGTTCTTGTTGAATATTTACACGACGAAAGTACAACAAATTATAGTACATAATTTAAGCAATAAAATCAACTCAATTTGAAAATGTAAAAGTTTTGTTAGCGCCGTATTTATTATCAATAATATCATTAATTGTCATTTTTCGCGTACAATTCGTTTAAATTGAAAATTAGCCAACGAGAGAAAATATAAGAAACCTAATGTTAATATTTTTATTTAATGCTGACATTTCTTTCTATCTTAAGGAACATTAATCATGATTAGCTTATGGACTTTTGGATCATTATCATTACTAATCGTATGCGTTATATGGCTTAACATCCACCCGAAGTCCTTAATTGGCTTTGAAAATTATGTAAATCAGGCAATGAGTTAGATTAAAAGTCTTCAAGAATACGAAATATCACTATCAAAGATAATAAATTCAACCTTTATTTACTTAATTTGTCAATCAAAAGAATAGTATGAAATAACTTCAGTGTCTTACCGATTATAAAATAGATGCAATATTTTAATAAAACTTTATTTTATTTAATTAAATCGTATACATAATAAATAATTGCGTACTAATAAATAATTACGTAAATGATAGATAATTAATAAAAATGATAATATATCTATATCCGACTTGTAAATACCTACAAGACACTTGATTACTCGACTACTTTATCCATAAAATCAAAAATCACAAAATAAGGCTTAATTAATATTAATTCATTTACTCAGGGAGTTTTTCAATAACGAGAGAGAATAAATACTCATACATGAACAAAATTTGTAAAAACTACCGAAAAATTGGTGCAATATTTACATTACTAATAAAAATTATTTATTAAGTAAATTGCATTGAAATATAGTCAAATGTATTTTTTTTAAATATTAATAAGATAAAAAAAAAAAAAAAAAAAAAAAAAAAAAAAAAAAAAAAAAAAAAAAAAAAACAGAAGAGAAATAGATTTACCACATATTTTTATGTAAAAATTATAATTTTAACGACAAAATTTACGAATTTCTTTTCTTCTTCCCCAATCTTTCAACCACCTCTTCACCTCTTTTACGTTGAATATAAGAAATTATTCGTTAATCAAGTTAAAATCAGTGGTTTATAAAAAATTATAAATAAAATCTTAATTTTTCAATTAGAAAAAACTGGAATCGTGATTTAGTCTTTGGATTATTCATATCTAAAGAACACAAATGTTCCGGAAATGTTCGTAAATGTGTCTCATTTTCAATAAATTGAATACAATATGTGCAAAGGATTAATTATATTGTTGAATTTTCTTTTTATTCGAATAGAAGTGATAAAATTATGCCAAAAGTAACGCTACAATTTTAAAAGACAAAATTAATTTTTCCTTTTCCGAATTCAAAAATCGTTCCATTAGAATACCAAACTATTCATTAAATATTCACATTTTTTCAATGTAAATATCGCGTTTTTCGACATTAGTTAAGGTAATACACACACACACACACACACACACACATACACACACATACACACACACACACATCATACTTGTCTTCTTGTATTCCATTATTGAAATCCAAAATATATTGGGTAATTTGACGAACAGTGTAAGGCCAAAGTTAATAAAAAAAAAAAATAAATAAATATTGTCCGAAAGGAGTAGGGAGCGGTGCAAAGTTCCGAAATTAAATGTTCGTACATGCATATAAATGCGCAAAATGTACAATGAAGTTGTATGTCTAAGCAGTTTCTTGGCGGAGTATATAAACAATAATTATTGTAATAAATATTGTACAGTCCTGCATTAAATTTCCGTACAACCTTATACTTGGCTTTATATGCATAATTATTAATTTTAAATTATATAATAATTAAAGCATTTTAACGCAGTTTATTTGATTGATTGTATAATGTATTATAAATTTTGATATCGTAAGCATTTATTTACATTATATACGTATTAACAATTTATAAACTATACATCTTTTATTATTATATATATATATATATATATATATATATATATATATATATATATATATATAATTTGTCATTTTCGTTGTAGATTATTTTTGTTTTGTCCAATTAATTAGATTTTACTTGACACTCAATCAGATATTACAATCTGTCTTTTTTTTTTTTAGGAGAGAAATAAAATTAATAAATACGATATTATTTCTGACACTGGATTATCTTTGGTGTCAACAATAAATCTATCTTATATATGTATATATATAACATGCCGTGACACTGTGTGCGTGCGTGTGTATGTGTGCGCCTCTGGCCGGAGAAGCGGGCGATGTGTGCGCCTCTGGCCGGAGAAGCGGGCGATGTGTGCGCGTGCGTGTGTAAAGATAAACGTCAAATACGTCATACGTATGCAAATGATATGACAGAATTGTGAAAATTTAATGAAATATAATAAGATAATAATTGTAAATAAAAGGTTATTTTAGTTTAAAAAAAAAAAAAGTATACGTTTAAAATTAATGAAATACTGACTATTCATTATTACAATAAAGACAATGAATATAATCTTTATCAATAATATTTTCAATAAATAAACAAATTAAAAGAAAATGTAGCGAGTACTTTGACGGTATATAAAGATAATGTACAATTTATAAAAATTAGGAAATATAAAGTATATTTATTTACATATACGTTAGACGTAAATAGGATTTTTAAAAAGATTTGTAATTCTACAATTTATTCGATAATTATATGATTAATAATAATTTTCTAATCATTTCTTTAATTGCAGAATTGCAACTAACTTTAATTATTCCATATTCCTTTTGGGTTTTAAAAAAAAAGTATCACATACATACGTATATGTATATAAATATCAGTAGTATTAACACGATTACTAACGTAGAAATAAATTAAAGATTTTCATTAGTAAAATTAATGAAAAATCAGTGCCAAATATGCATTTTCCCAGGCGTACGACGTTTCAACGATAACAAAATATTCTACATTCGTTTAGAAGTGATACGAGCATATATGCTCAACAGTACAATCGCATAGACATGAAATATTATAACGTATATTCTTATCTACACATGTATAAGTAAGAAAGCTATGTGCGATATAAATTTTTTTATTTCTGTGTGGAGGCGCAGTGAGCTGTTGGTTAAAAATTTAATTTAATTGCAATTAATATCGAATGACTCAATTAATCGATAACATTAATATATCTAATTATTTTATTTCTAATATTTAATTAATTATTAGTTCAATTATTAGTTTTAATGATAAAATAAATTATTCTTAGAGTTTCGACGATTTTTAAAAAGTATTATATGCTTTTGTAATACATG